AAATTTGATTGTCAAATAGCTTCGAGGCAGCATGCACAAACCTTTTATTGTGCCACCAAAAGAAACTATTAACATCTACCATCTACCTTTTGCTGACTCGACAAAAACCATCATTACAACATTCTGTATTTTGTGCACATGCACAAAGATGCACCATGAACCTACAATAAAAGGTTCTGCAAAAGACTTTGTGACTCACGAAAAGAAAATATTTTTTTGCGAACCTCTTTTCGATCCAAAAAAGGCTTCAGTGCAATCTCATGATGCAAGCTGTTATGTTAATAATGCTATGTACAGTGACACTGATCTGTACTGAGAATGTTTCACACTCCTTCTTGGTAGTGTGCGCAACTGAATTGCTACTGCGAACTCACTCTGCCACTGTAGTCCATGTTCATCCATTCAGTTTTCCTGTTCTCTGCAGGCTTTTGCATTTCCCAAGGGAACGGGGTTCCTAGAGATTGGTGGTATTTCTCTTTGCGGTTATCTGGAAAACCTCTCCTCATGACTGCACACTCCAACAACTCTTGGTACTTCTCCATGCTGCCTTCTGCAATCCTCTTCTCATGTGATTCCAATGTCTTTCATGGAGTTGCTCCAGTTTTGTTTCAAGTCGACCACACATTTGGCTTGATTGCTCTGTTAGATATTGTTCTCTGATTCATATCTCCCTGCTTCCTGTCTTGAACATTCTATTCAATGGCCCTTCTGATGGTGTTGCTCCATCTGTAGCTGCCCGCAACATTGTTCGATGTCCCCAATATTGTCCCTCTGTCGCTTGCATATCTTCCAAATTCCTTCTGGCTAAGAAGTTTCCTGCGTTCAATTCTCCTATTGCATCATACCTGATGACTGTTTGAAGGTCTGGTACTTCATCCTCAACAAAGCCTCTATTGAGAATCAATCCACAATGAATTCTCCCGGCATAGTTGTGCAAAAGAGCGATTTTCTCTTGAGATTCTGCTTCATCTGTTCTGAGGCGAGTATATTCCCATGCGTCCTAAGAGCATTTTTCCACATGTCATTGCTGCAAAACCAATGATGTTGATTGCAATGATCACTATGATCCAGAATTTCCAGTTATTGGAATCCTTCATCTCTTCTAATCCACCCTGGTTGTTTTCTTCCTCTTTCAGGAATGCCTCTGTAACCATTGCACGCCCTCCAGCGCTGCCATTCTCACAAGCATCTTGGCAGTCTTGTTGACCTTTCCTGCAAAGAATTTTTCTCATCATCCACCTTTCTCTCACTCTCTCCCACTCTTGTCTGCCCTTCACTGTGCCAATACCCGCTACCTGGTTGGACCATGTTTCTCTAGTTTGCACTTCCCCCTCAGAAAATTGAACTCATCACCAATCTCCTCAATTTTGCTCACACTGGTGTCAGACCTATCTTGAATCTTTGGAGGAAAGATTTCATTGGTGTACCTTGAGTCTCCTGTGAAAGTCAAGTCATCCACATGGACCAAAATGATACTCTTCTGTTCTCATTTCTTCCTAGGCATGGACACTCAGCACTGAACTTGTACTTGAACTCTTCGGTGGGGTACTCTGTGAAAAGTCAACCCATGTTCTTACCCCAACTCTTTGTGCAGGTATTGGTCTTCTCTTCCACCTTTTACTTGTTGTTTCATCTTTATGATGGTAAAGCTTCTTTCTCCAGTCATATACATTGCGAGTTGTCAGGCAACTGATTCCTTTTGTGCCACCTTCTGGTTTCTCTAGCACCTGTACTTCTGCACTTCATCTCCCACTCTGTCTGTCCATTCTTCTGGTTCTCCTTGGTTCATATTCTCCATCACACCACATGCATTCACGTCCATCCACATCATCTTCTTCTCACTCATCTCCTTCTTCTCAACTTCTTCTACAACTGCGGATAGTTCTTCGTCCACATGATAAAGGTCTTCACCTGCAACTTCGACTCAGCCTCCCACAAGTCAAACTCCGAACAAAAGGCAACTAAATCCTCCTGATCATCCCTCGTCCCCTTCTCAAGCGCATTGGACTCATGCTCAAAAGACAAATCAGGAAACTATAGGACCGGATAACCCCACATGGGAACAACTTCGAAAGATTGAAGCTGCAGACATAAAGTGCTGAAGAGTGAGCGTGGGGAAGAGACAGGCGAGACAAATAGAATGCGTAAGGGTCGGTGTGTGTAGGTGAGGTGTGTGTTTGATTGTGTGCTTGTCCGTGAGTGTGTATGAGTGTGTGGGTGGATGTATGCTGCACGACGCTTGTGCGCATGTAGGTGTTTGTAAGGTGTGCGTTTGTGTGTGTGTGTGTCTGTTCAGCAGTGTGTATCTGTGTGTATCCGTTTGTGTGTATCTCGTCAGAGAGTCGGTCGTCGGAGACGAACTGGTCCAAGTGTCCTGAGCAGGAAGATGCATACTGGTCATATCGATTTATATGGTTGACTCATACGGTTGACTCTACGTAGCTTTGAGCTCCCGTGAACAAGCGCAGGCAACGACCTTGGAGGCCATCACGCTTTGGCAAGAACCGTGTCTGAAATCGGCAAGTCGCATCAATCAGATAGAAGCAAAATTATTGCACAGATTCCAAAGTTTCCAAAGTTTCATCTCTTCATTCTGTAGCGATGGCCGTGGCGCCTTCCATGGACGCATCTGAAAGCTGCAAGTCGCATCAATCAGAAAGAAGGCGTGAGCACATCTACATCATCCAACAGTAACAGGTCACGCCAATCGAAGACATACATTTCAAAAATGCCTGGGATCATATCACCAAAACGAACGATGTGCGCTCACGGTCTATCTATGCATCTGAAATCAGCAAGACGCCTCAATCAGACAGAAGGCGTGAGCACATCTACGTCATCCAATAGCAACCGGTCACGCAATTCGAAGACATACATTTCAAACATGCTTGGGATCATATCACCAAAACGAACGATGTGCGCTCACGGTCTATCTATGCACCTGAAATCAGCAAGACGCCTCAATCAGAAAGAAGGCGTGAGCACATCTACGTCATCCAACAGCAACCGGTCATGCCAATCGAAGACATACATTTTAGACATTCTTTTGGGATCAGATCACCAACCAATCGATGGAAGCCAGCCGACGCCAGCGATGCCAGTGCAGATTTCAGCAAAGATTTTTCACAGTGCTAAGGCACTGCTACACGCTGAATGACGCGATTATGTCATCTACCTATTAAATCTCTCCGATTAGTGCAGCGTACCCTCTCTACTGGCCTCAAAGCAGCATATTGGCATATCAACCGACAAACAAATGCATCTATTACGCAAGTCTCCTCCCTCCACTTCCTTATACATTTTATCTACCCCCGTCTGCCATACCGGCAGATCATGATTCAGGACCTCCTTAACGTGTGTGGCTTTGACGACAATGTCAACTTGTCTGATGCTCTCCTCTCTTTACGAGTCAATATTGGCAAGTTCACAGACTGTATAGTCACAGACCCATCCGCGACTGTCGGCGACACTTCGTTCATTCTTCCAAATGAAATACAATCCCTACGCCACATCCCCACGAGGTTCTGGCAACTCTGCCACAAAATTCTACAATTCCGGGAGCAGAGACCGAGTAATTTGCCAGTCTCTGTAAAAGGAATTCACTCTTGGAATCTCAATAGCTGGTCTCCTGGACTTCCCACCAATGTGCACAAGACTTGGATAGTCAAAGCTATGTTGAAACAGGCCCCTGTATTATTACAGGAAACAAAATGGGATCAAGCCAATCTCCAATACTTATCCCACACGTGGCCTGACATCAAAGTAGTTGCTACTTTAGCCAAACACAATCCGGGTGAGCAAGCTGGAGTTGCGATCCTGTTTCCTCCAGGCTGGAAGGTCCTAGAAGAACGTATTTTGGTTCAACATTACGCAGTTGCTGCCCGCGTTGAATACCAAGCTTGCACTATATGGCTTGTCTCGATCTATATACCTCCGAGCAGCCCTAAGGCTTTCGTATCCAACACTCTACAAACCATTATCGCACTGACTGATTATCCAGTCTTTGTAGGAGGAGACTTTAATCGGTGTGATCAAAATCATTTTCACACGTGGGATGACTTCCTAGTGCAGGCTGGACTCACTGATGTTGACCCTACACTTCCTACTTACAAGTACCAAGACCAGGAATCCTCGCTTGATAGATTTTTGGTACCTAGTCTCTTCCTTGACGCAACGCAACTCTTTGCTTGCATTTATGGCAGGTACCGGATCGATACTTGCCATCACAAAGCTCTGATGCTCAGGCTAAAGATGAAACCGCGACTTCGACCACATCCACAGTCTGAAAAGCATCACACCACACCGACTCAAGTTTTTCTTGATCCAACGATTGCATCGGAAAGTCTACAGGCAGTTGCAAGACAAGCTTCCCTACTTGCTCTCAAACGAAAAATCTCGCTAGCGCAGGAGACTAAGCCTGCTAGTGTCGCGTTATCACACCACAGTCGTGCCATAGTTTGGAGTTGGTGGGGGACTCACTCTTGTCACTTCAAAAAATTGGCTCCGTTAAAGCGACTATACAAACTTCTTGGCAAAGAACAAACGCACCTGCATATACGACAGGAAGAACTACGCCTATTGTA